CACCAATCGGGCCTTGAATTTTTCTCCTATAGTTTCCGGATTTTGCATAGTCCCCCGTGGCCATGGAAAGTGGGCGACCGCATGCGGACGCCCCCGCTGGGACTGCAGGTGAAGCTCCACAGGGAGCACAACCTGATTGAAAGGTGCGACGACATAGCCGGGGGGGGGGCCTCCGCGCCAGGGCCGTGCGCGGAGCCGCCATGCGGAGCACGATCTGTTCAAACGCAAGCAGACATTTGCACGATTACGCCATGCGCAAATATGACTGCCCTTACTGGGCTTGTACGCGGCGCTCCTTGTGGGGCGCCATCCGCTTGAAAAGGCGTGCCAAAAACGGGAGCGGAGACGCCGTGGGAATTCCAAATGGGGCCACAACTGCATGGGCGCGATCTTCGCGAGGGGCGTGCCGACGCGGGCATGGAGGCGCACTTGGAGCGCCCCCGCGACGGCCGTAGGCGAAATTCCATCAGTGGCGCGAGCCGCGGGAAAGGCGTGCCGCAGTGGTTGCGGATAAGCTTTGGGGGCGCCCCCCTTGAGCCTGCGGGTGGAGCCCATTGCGGGCTGCAGTCCGCGCTGGGGGGCGTGCCGAAATGAGCGCGGAGACACTTTAAGTACGCCCCTGCCAGGATGGTCGATGAAGCTTCATATGGGGCACGATCCGTGCGAGGGGATTACCGAACTGATCACGACGTTCGCAGCAACGGCAGCGGATGGTAACGACGGTCCACCAGCAGCATGCAGCAGGCAACGCAGCGGACGCGGCTGCGAGCGGAGGGGGGCGGGGGGAGGTGGGTAAATGAGGAGGAAGACGCGCGGTGCAGCAGAGGGAAAATGAAGCACATGTAAACGAAAAAGCAATGGAAAACAAGCGGCACCGAAACAAAAAACTGCTATAAATTCTACACCCGGGGAATGGATTGGTGTATATATACACTCCTCCGACAGACGGCCAGTGCGCACCGCGATCTCGAAGCGCTTCGGCAAGACGAGGCAGGCGAGCAAGCGGCCCCGTGGCATGGCCAAGGCCTCGCGGCAGTACCTGAAGTGCGGCTTCATCGAGAAGGTCGGCCTCCAGACGGCAGCGGCCTACGGGCTCGAGATCTTCGGCGCCTTCGGCAGCAGGCTGGCCGAGTTGCGGCGACGGCTGGCGTCCGTCACAGGCGCCGTCAAGCGTGGGAGGTGCCTCACCACGCAGCTGGCCCTCCGCGCGGGAGCCTTGGATCCAGCACGGCGCCCCCCGCGGGCGCTCCTCAAGAACTGGTTCGAAGTATGGAGAGGCAGCCAGGAGATACGCCAGCGGGTCGAGCGCGCCTGGATTCCCATCCACGCCAGGCTGCGCGAGGCCCCCCCCCCCCCGAGGAGAGGTCGAGGCTGGTGCGCGGCCCCGCCTCCGCCCTGCAGGCTTTGCTGCTGCAGCGCGGCTGGAGCCCAGTGGGCCCTCGAGGTTGGGAGCGGCACCTTCAGGACGGATCTCGAGAAAGGTGGGCCTTCCCCGACGTGGCCAGCATCACCGAGGGTTCCTGCCAGGCCGTCCTCGACGCCTTCGACGCCTCTGTCCAAGAGGACCTGTGGCAGCGCGCGGCGGGCCACTGGTGCGGGGCTGGCCTGGAGGGAGGGACCGACCTGCGCTCCCTACAGCGTCTTCTCCAGAGGCTCAGGCAGCTCCCAGGGGGGGCCCGCGCTTGAGGAGCTGCTCGCCACCATCGCCGTTGGTGGCGCGTGGCCGCGAGCCAGAAAGAGGGGGGTCTTCGGCGGCACGGAGCTCTTGACGTGCCCCAGATGTGGCGAGGCCGAGGAGACCGCCTACCACAAGTACTGGGGCTGCCCGTGCAACACGGGCAGCAAGGCCTACGACGACAGCGACGAATTCAGCGGTCGAGCGGCGACCGACCATGAGGCGCACGCCGCCTTCTGGCTCAGGGGCCTCCTCCCCGCCAGCTGGACGGAGGTCAGCGCCCCGCCCGACGGCGACTCGTGGATCTTCTTGCAGGGCCATCGGGCTGGCAACGTGGCCCCTGGCGAGTTCGGGCGAGGCTCCGAGCTCGCCCCCCTCATCCTCTTCGGTGATGCCAGCGGGGGCCCTGAAGGGCAGGTGCCCCATCTTCGTCGGGTCGGGCTCGCCGTGGCCAGGATCCAACTGCTCAGCGGCATGCTGGAGCGGGCCGTCTGGGGCAGCCTCGGCGGCCCCGTGCAGACCGTGCACCGCGGGGAGCTGCGCGCGCTGGTGCTTGCCGCGCAGGGCTCCCTCGGGCCGACGGTCTTCGTCTCCGACAACCTGGCGGTCTGCATGGGCTGGTGGAGCAGACGCGACCAGCGGCCGCAGGGTGCCGACAGTGACATGTGGGCCCTGCTGGGCCAACTCTTCCTGACGCGGGACAGGTCGGAGTTCGTCGTGGAGCACGTGAACTCGCACCTGGACATGGACGAGGCCGCGCGGCGCGGCCTCCCGCCGTGGCTGATCATGGGCAATGCGGTTGCCGACGTCCTCGCAGGGGAGGCTGCAGAGCTGGCCCGCCTCCCTGCGCCCGAGAGGGGGCGAGTGCTCCAGGCTGAGCAGATGGCGATGGTGGTCAGACGACGTCTTCTGCGGGCGACCTTGGACGCGCTGAGCGCCGAGGCCGAGTTCACACCATCGGTGCGACGCGCGAGGCGACGGCGCCAGGCGCCGCCTGCGCCCAGCATGGTGGAGGCCTTCGGCTCGTCGCACGCGCTGGGCAGCCGAGGCAGCTGCTTGCGATGCAGGTGTTCAGCCTCCCGAGCCGCGCGCTCGCAGTGGATGGCATCTCGCTGTCCAGGGTTGCTGCGCGATGGGCCCTCCACGCTCAGGCTGCGGGAGGGCCTCCCGCACATCGGAGGAGGTCGGCCCCGCGCCTCCCACTTTCCTCGGCTCCACGAGCGCCTGGACGTGTGGTTCTGCGTCTGCTGCGGGTGCTTCGTGGCCGCTGCGGGCCGCGTGGTGGGCCTGGGCCTTCGGGCCAGGTGCCTAGGCCGCCCTTCGCGGGCTGGCCGCGACTGCCTCCAGCGGCTGGCTCGAGGCCTGTGGCCGAAGGCCAGCGGACGGCGCAGGTTCGTGAGGAAGGAGGCCGAGCTGGTGGTCGGCCCGAGGCTGCTTGCCCTTCGGCGCCGCGCTGTTCGAGCAGCTGCACGTGCCGCAGGCCGCCGAGGTGGCCAGGTTCCCCCTGCGCTGGGCACGGAGGCCGACGGCGCGCTGGACGAGGTGGCCCACCGCGCGCTGGACGACTCGATCGTGGATGCGACACGTGGAGGCGTGGGTGCTGCGGGTCGACCCGTGCGGGAGATCGGCCTGACCTCGTGCGAACCGCTGATCCCAAAGCGGCTCTCGCCAAAGCCCCACGCCGACACAGAGCGGGAGGTTACTGTGATGGGCGACTCGGTCCTCGTGGCGGCAGACCTGGAGGGGCCAGTCCCGTTGGGAGCGGCCCCGCCAGGTCCCTCGGCTGGTCGAGGTGGCCAGGTTCCCCCTGCGCTGGGCACGGAGGCCGACGGCGCGCTGGACGAGGTGGCCCACCGCGCGCTGGACGACTCGATCGTGGATGCGATACGTGGAGGCGTGGGTGCTGCGGGTCGATCCGTGCGGGAGATCGGCCTAACCTCGTGCGAACCGCTGATCCCAAAGCGGCTCTCGCCAAAGCCCCACGCCGACACAGAGCGGGCGGCCACTGTGATGGGCGACTCGGTCCTCGTGGCGGCAGACCTGGAGGGGCCAGTCCCGTTGGGAGCGGCCCCTCCAGGTCCTTCGGCTGGTCCAGACAGTTGCCCGCATCCTGTGATAAATTGCGGGCTCGAGAGGGGGGCGAGGAGCGCCACGGGCGCGGAGTCTTCCTCGCCTCCCCGCGGCCTCCCAGTGGACGCGACCTTCTCCGACAAGGTCGCCTTCCTCCTCAGCGCCGCCCGCAGCGACGCCTTCTCGGAGGTGGTGGTCGAGGACGCCCTGGCCGTGAAGCGGCAGCGCCGAACGGCGGCCGCCAGCGGCGACGCCCTCTCGGACGTGGTGGTCGAGGACGCCCTGGCCACTGGCCGTGAAGCGGCAACGCCGAGCGGCGGCCGCAGCGCCCGCGGGCCGTGGCCCTCCTCGCCCCAGCAGCTGGCCGCCGTCGGCCACCCGCGGGGCGCCTGCGGGCGGTCCGCCCGCCAAGCGGGCGCGGGCCAGCGCCGCGCCGCGCCTGCCCCGCGCCTCGCGAGCCGCCGAGGGCGGCGACCGCTGAGCGGGGCGCCGCGGGCGCCGCGGGCGGGGCGCGTCGGCTCGACTGACGCGTTCCCTACTGCCCTCACCCTCACCCTCCTCCTCCTCCTCCTCCTCGTCCTCCTCGTCCTCCTCGTCCTCCTCCTCCTCCTCCTCCTCCTCCTCCGCCGCCCCTTCCTCTCCCGCTCCCCCTCGGCGCCCAGTCGAGAGCACTCTGGGAGCGTCTCTGTCGTTCAAAGCGGCCTTTCAAGGCGCGAACTTCGCGCATGGATGAGAGGAGTACGCCGTACGCATCAGAGGAGAGGGAGGACGGACAGAGTGTGTGGTATTGGCGCTCGGTCGACTCTTTCTCTTTCCACGCCCAGCGGGAACGATGCAGCGCAGGACGCCAGAACATGCGGATCGGACCTAAAACAGCGGACCAACCAGCCTTGAGAAGAGGCGAGCGCGGGGACGAGGCAAGGACGGCCGTTGCCATGAAGCAAGGGGTCCCCTGAGGGAAACAGGCCCTGGATCCCAGGGGCTTCCCCTGGGATCAGCAGGAGGAGGAGGAGGAGGAGGAGGAGGAGGAGGAGGAGGAGGAGGAGGAGGAGGGAGGAGGAGGAGGAGGAGGAGGAGGAGGAGGAGGAGGAGGAAGGAGGAGAGGAGGAAGAGGAGGAGGAGGTGGAGGAGGGTGTTAGATGATCCCAGGGCCCAGGCAAATGTGGCAGGAGCCGAAGATGGCGAGACGCATCCGGGGCCCGCGCCCTCAGGATGCCGTGTGAATGGCAGGGCCAACGGGGATAACACGAGGAACAAAAACAAGGAATAGCACGAGGAGGAGTCCTCGTCCGGGAAGCAGTCGCCGGGGGGGTGCGGGCACGACTCGCCGTCGCCCGCAATGCTGAAGCCGCCGCACACGCCCATCTTGTGCACCTGCGCGGGTGGGCGGTCCCTCGGAGGGCTGAGGAGAGGGAAAAGGGGAGGGAACGTGGGCAGGGTAGGGGAGAGGGGGGGGTGACAGGGGGGCGGGGGGAATAGGAGGGGTGATGACGGAACGGGGAGTATAGAGGGAAGGAGAGGAGGGAGGATGTGGATGGGGAGGGGGAATGTAGGGTACGGGGAGGTGGCACGAGAGGGGGTGGGGGATGGGGAAGCGATGGAGGGTAGTGGGGGGGGGGGGAGGGGACGGGGAAACGAGGGAGGACAGAGACAAGGGAACCGGAGGGGCAATGCAGAGGGCAAGGAAGAGAGAGGGAGTGCACGGGGAGGGATCGGGCGGCTAGCGGGGTGAAAGAGGCGGGCGGGGGAGGGCAAGGGCAAGGAGGAAGAGCGCAGCTGGACGGAGAGAAGGGGCAGGCGACCAGGCCAAGCCCGTTCCATAGCCCGCCTCACTCCTCCTCCTCCCTCCTCCTCCTCCTCCTCCTCCTCTTTCTTCTCCTCCTCCTTCCTCCTCTCCTCCTCCCCTTCCTCACTCCTCCTCCTTCTCCTCCTCCTCCTCCTCCTTCCTCTCCCTCCTCCCTCCTCCTCCTCCTCCTCCTCCTCCTCCTCCTCCTCCTCCTCCTCCTCCTCCTCCTCCTCTACCTCATGTCCATCGGCTCCCTTGTTGTCCCCTTCCTCGTTCTCCTACTAGGGATTATTATGGAGATTAGCTAGGTGGCCAGGAAAGGAAGGGACCGTGGGCTATGGAGAAGGCTGACGAGGAGGAGGCCCGAAAATGCGGAAATAACGACAATCTGATTCCCTCCCCCTCCAACCTGTCCTTCCCATCGAAATGTCCTTCCGGCCTCATCCTTTCACCTCCTCCTCCAGCTCCTCCTCCTGCTACCCTTTCTCCCCTCTCCACCTCCGCCCCTGCCCGTTTCCAGTCCAATTCCCCCCGCTCCCTCCTCCTTCCCCGCCGCCACTCTCCGTCCCATACTCTGACCTCACGGTGCCTGAAGCCCATACGCGGGAAGCCCACACCGTCCCAACCGAGGCGATACAGAGAGCTCGCTCATACGCGATCGACCAAGCGCTCGATCCGTGCAGAAGCGATTGTCGGAACATGCGGGCTAACTTGTGCAGGTCGCAGCGCGAGCCGAAATCCCAGTCAAACGTGTACCTCCACCTGGAGCTCCGTTCAAACCGAATCCTGTGTTGACCCTTCAACTGCTGAGTCAGCGCAATTGCGCTCTAGACGACGCCAGAGACGAAATCACATGGAAGGCCGGACCTGTAACCCAAGCTGAGATAAACCGAATGCGAACGGAGAGCAGGATTTGTAAGGGAGGAGAAAAGGTGGGGACGGGTGCCAGGGGAAGGATGGGGCAATGGCGGCGTATGGACATGGGAATAGCAACATAGAGTGAGCGATTCAGGGAGGGATCACCTTATGTAGAGAAAGGAATCGAATGATCGAACTGGCGCGTATGCTTGGGAATACAGATTTCACCAAAGGGGCAGAAACGAGTAATGAACGAGCATCCTCCCATACCCAAGCCTGGTTCAACTTGCACGGGTGCGACTCGCAACAAGTCATGGCCGTGGTCCGGATGGGGTACCTCGGCTGCTCATTCAACTCAACTCCTTCTACACAACCTGCCCCTCTGCCGTCGATGCACTTGTCGCTGCCCTTCTTGGCTATTATTGATTTTCCCCCCCCCCCCCCCCCCCCCCCCCCCCCCCCCCCCCCCTCGCACTCCCTGTCCTTCTCATCCGATATGTATACATCTAGATCTGTATAAAGACTCCTACTGCTGCTCCTCCACGTGTTGGAGCTCCCTCTGGCTTACGTCGTTCTGAATAATATTGCCCCTCTCCCTCCTCCGGCCTCCCTCTCTTCTCGCTCCTTTCCCCATCTTCCCTCCTCCCTCCCTCCACAACTCATCCTTGCTCCCGCCCTCTCTCCTTCATGTTCCATGCCTCCCTCCCTCTCCCCCTCCCTCGCTTCTCGCCTCTCATCGCTCCTCCCTCCTCCCCCGTCCCTCCGCCCTTCTCCCTGCTGACTTCTTTCTTCCTCTCCTTCTCCCTCTCGCTTCCTGCTTCTCCCCTCCTCGGGCTCCCTCTCTCTGTCTCTGTCGCTCTGCCTCTCTGCCTCTGCCTCGCTCTGCCCTTCCTCGGGGAGGCGTCCCGCCGCGGTCCCACCCGGCCCCCCCCGGTCTCCGTCCTGCGAGCTCTTGCTCGTGCGCTGCGCGCCGCTCGGGGGGCCTGTCCTTCCCAGGCAGTCGTGCGCATTGGCGCGCGCCGAGGAGGAGGAGGAGGAGGAGGAGGGAGGAGGAGGAGGAGGAGGAGGAGGAGGAGGAGGAGGAGGAGGAGGAGGAGGAGGAGGAGGAGGGAGGAGGAGGAGGAGGAGGAGGAGGAGGAGGGAGGAGGAGGAGGAGGAGGGGGAGGAGTCGTCCCTCCGAGTGCTGGGCCCGGCGCACCGACCGCTTGTCCGCCGGGCGCCGGAGCGGACACCCGCGCGGCTCGGGGCCGTTTCCCTCTCTCCCTCGCTCCCTCTCTGCCTCGGCCTCTGCCCCTCCTGCTCTCTGCCGCTCCTGCTCTCTGCCGCTCCTCCTCTCTGCCTCTCCTTCTTCCCTCTGCCTCTCCTTCCGTGTGTCTCTCTCTCTCTCTCTCTCTCTCCCTTTGTCTCCGTCTCGGTCTCTCTCTTTCTCTGTCCTCTGCCTCTCCTTCCGTGTCTCTCTCTCTCTCTCTCTCCCTTTGTCTCCGTCTCGGTCTCTCTCTTCCTCTGTCCGCTCCCTCCCTCGTCGTCCGCCTGCGCTTCTCGTGCTCCTCGCCCGCGTGAGGTGCCTCTGCCCCTCTGCACCCTCGCCCTCCTCCTGCCAAGGGCGCGTGCGGACGCGCAGCTCCACGGGCACTGCCAGGGCGCTTCGCCGTTCACCCTTGTCGCTGCGGCCCGTGGCCCATGACGCTCGCGGCGCCCCCCCCCCGTGCCCATGGGGCACATGCCATCCGTGAGCAGCGAGCACTTCTTGTAGCAGAGCAGGCCCCACTTCTCCTCGTTGTCGTGGCACACCTCTGCGGCAGTGCTTCCACGGATGCGAGGGGTCTCAGCGAGAGAGAGAAGAGGAGAGAGGGAGTCGGATGCGTATGTAAGTACGGATAACTAGAGAGAGAGAGAGAGAGAGAGAGAGAGAGAGAGACAGAGTGTGTGTGTGAGAGATAGGGACAGAGAGAAAGAGACAAAGCAAGAGAGAGAGAGAGTGAGAGAGAGAGATGTATATATAGGAAGCTCTGCATGAATACATAAACGACCACACTTCGGGTGATAAAAAAGGGGGTTGGGGGAGGAACCAACGTCTCACTCAATCGATCTCAATGTCGATCTCGCTATCGCTCTCACTATCGATATCATGATCGGTATTACTATCGCTATCACTATCGATCTCACTATCGGCATCACTATCGAGTTCACTATCGATCTCACTATCGATCTCATTATCGAACTCGCTATCGATCTCACGATCGGTCTGAATATCGATATCACGATCGATGCCACTATCGATATCACCCGCTCGATCTCACTATCGATCTCACTATCGGTGTCACTATTGATCTCGCGATCGATCTCACTATCGATCTCACGACCGGTCTCACTATCGACCTTCCCCTTCATGCCATCATCGATGTCACGACCGATCTCACCATCGATCTCACTTTCGTCAACATCACCACCGATCTCACAATCTATTTCACGATCGATCTCACTTTCGGTGCCATTATCGATCTCACGACGGCACACCGACGGGTCACCGACGGGACACCCACGGGACAACCCCGAGACCACCGCCGGACATCCCCGGGGAAGGGACGGCCCCTCTTGGCCCGGCGGCGCCCTATGCATGATCGCCCGCCCACGCAGCTTCGCCTGGCCCGCACGCACGACACGAAAACACATAGCTCATCTTTAAGTATTCGAAAGTTCTTTGACTTCTTGGGGGGCCAAGATCCTGTCATTTCTAATTGTTCTATCCTGGGCCTCTTCCTGGCCACTAGGGGGCCAGGAACAATTAGAAAGGAGCACAATTAGAAATGAGCACGAATAGAAATAAATGACGTGTATGCGAAACCGACAGATTTCACGTTGGGGGGCTCTCAGTCTCACTGCGATCTCGCCCGCCGCCGCAGATAGAAGCGGCAGCCAACGCCCACCACCCTGTCGGATAGGGCGGTGCTGCTTTGAGCCAAGACAGCAGCGCGCATGCGAGCATGATCGTCCCCCTCCTTGGGAGGCTCTCTCAAAGTCACCTCCGATACTTATGCGCCACCGTGCCGCGAGTCACTGCGTATGGCCCTCAGGTCCCTCACGCACAAAAAAGGCCCACAGCCCCGAGTTACGGGCGCTCTTGGGCGTTTCAAGGATCTGGCGCGTGTCCACGCATGGATTCTCCCTGAAGCGCGAGGGCCCGGAAACGGGCCAAGAGCCAAGAGGGCCCAAGAGACCCCCAAGGCGGTCCAAGAGGGCCCCGAGTCGACCAAAGATCGCTCCAAGACGACAAGATGCCCTCAAGACAGCCCAGGGGACCGCCAAGACGTCCCATGAGCCAGGCCTCCATGGGCACCCCCAGAGATCGCCCCAAGAGGCAACAAGCATTGATTCTCCTCCAATTTTTGAAGGATTCTAGCGTTCTCGTGGTTTCGGAATTCTGGCGCTGCAAGATGCCCGAAGAGGAACCCAATATCGCCCCAAGAGGCCTTCAAGATGGCTCCCAGGCTGCCCAAGAGGGCCTCGCCAGGCGGCCCAAGATGGCCCCAAGAGGGCCCACGAGGGGGAGCTCGAACTGGCACTGCGCGCCCTCCGCCGCAAGATGGCTCCCGAGACTGCCAGCAGGCCCCCAAGAGGCCCCCAAGAGACCCGAATCAGGGCCCACGAGGCCCCCATGACGCCCCCGAGAGGCCTCAAGACACTATGAAAATCGCCTCCAGAAGGCTCCCAAGAGGCCTCCCCAGAGATCCCCACATGCATTCAAGAGGCCACTACATGCATGCATCTCTATATTTATGAGCAGAGAGGCAGAGAGAGAGAGAGAGAACAAAAACAACAACAAACAAATTGCCTGACGAAGGACCCAACCACATGCAGCTGCGAGTGCCACGAGGGAGATGAGACGAAGGAGAGGGCGCGCAAACTCCGAGTAGCGCACGCGGTATAGCCGTCTGCCACGAACCGTGTGAAGGGTGTGCCGACATGTGTCGGGAGGACTCCTGCGAACGTCGCCATTGGGGCCTTACGTGGAGCTCCCTATGGGGCCACGGAACGTGTGAGGTGTGTACCAAAATGGGGCGGCGGTGCCATGCGAACTTTCCCATTGGGGCCTTCGGTGGACGTGCGAGGGGTGTGCCGGAATGAAGCGGCGGTGCCATGCGGACGCTCCCGTTGGGGCCTTCGGTGGAGCTGCCTATGGGGCCACGAACAGTATGAGGGGTGCGCCGAAATGGGGCTGCGGTGCCATGCGGACGCCCCCACTGGGGACTTCGGTGGAGCTCCCCATGGGGGCCACGAAACGTGTGAAGGGTGTGCCAAAATGGGGCGGCGGTGTCGTGCAAACGCTCCCGCTGGAGCCTTCGGTTGAGCTCCCTATGGGGCCACGAACCGTGTGAACGGTGTGCCAAAATGGGGCGGCGGTGCCGTGCGGACGCTCCCGCTGGAGCCTTCGGTGGAGCTCCCGATGGGGCCACGAAACGTGTGAAGGGCGTGCCAAACTGGGGCTGCGGTGCCATGCGGACGCTCCCGCTGGGGCCTTCGGCGGAGCTCCCTGTGGGGCCACGACCCGTGTGAGGGGCGTGCGAGAATGGGGCTGCGGTGCCATGCGGACGCTCCCGCTGGGGCCTTCGGTTTGAGCTCCCTATGGGGCCACGAACCGTGTGTGAGGGGTGTGCCGAAATGGGGCGGCGGTGCCATGCGGAAGCTCCCGCTGGGGCCTTCGGTTTGAGCTCCCTATGGGGCCACGAACCGTGTGAAGGGTGTGCCAAAATGGGACGGCGGTGCCATGCGGACGCTCCGGCTGGAGCCTTCGGTGGAGCTCCCGATGGGACCACGAAACGTGTGAAGGGCGTGCCAAAGTGGTGCTGCGGTGCCATGCGGACGCTCCCGCTGGGGCCTTCGGCGGAGCTCCCTGTGGGGCCACGGAACGTGTGAAAGGATGCCGAAATGGGGCTGCGGTGCCATGCGGACGCTCCCGCTGGGGCCTTCGGCGGAGCCCCTTATGAAGCCACGACCCGTGTGAAGGGCGTGCCAAATGGGGCGGCGGTGCCATGCGGACGCTCCCGCTGGGGCCTTCGGTGAAACTCCCAATGGGGCCCCGAACCGTGTGAAAAATGTGCCAAAATGGGGCGGCGGTGCCATGCGGACGCTCCCGCTGGAGCCTTCGGTAGAGCTCCTCCCTATGGGGCCACGAAACGTGTGAGGGGTGTGCCGAAATGGGGCGGCGGTGCCGTGCAGACGCTCCCGCTGGGGCCTTCGGTGGAACTCCCCATGGGTCCACGAACCGTGTGAAGGGTGTGCCGAAATGGGGCTGCGGTGCCATGCGGACGCTCCCGCTGAAGCCTTCCATGGAGCTCCTTTTGGGGCCACGAACCGTGTGACAACTGTGCCCAAATGGGGCGGCGGTGACGCATGCAACCGCCGCCACTGTGGCCTTCGGTTGAGCTCCCTGTGGTGCCACGACCCGTGTGAGGGGCGCGGCGCTGACGATGGAGGTGGTGATGATCATGATGATGTGGATCATGACGATGGTGATGATGATGACGATGATGACGATGACGATGCGGATGGGAGAAGGGAGGAGGGGGCGGAGGGAGGGGGCAGCGGGAGGAGGTGAGACGCGGGGCGCTGTCTTTTCAAAACGAGGACCCAACACCACAGGATGGTTGGGAAAGATATATACATATATACACACAGAAATGGATGAACATACCTGTGCGACCACCCTTTCGGTGATAAGGAGGTTGGGGGGAAAGAATCAACTGAGGGCAACTGCGATGATTGCGATGGTGGCCATGCTGGTGACACCACGGGAACCCGACGGGGCACCCACGGGGCACCGACGGGACACCACGGCGGGACATCCCAGGCCACCACCCGCGGACACCGACGGGACACCGACGGGACACCGACGGGACACCGACGGGACACCGACGGGACACCACGGTGGGACACTACGGGCCACGCCGGCCCACTGGAGGAGCGGTCTTTTGTCGAGACCCGCCCCAGCCATAGCGGAGGCATTCTTCTCGCCCGCCCACGCAGCTTCGCCTCATTTCGCCTCGCCCGGACGTGCGACACGAACCCGAAACCGAAACCGGTTTCCCGGTGGGGGGCTCCCCGTTCCACTTCGATCTCACCCCCCAACCTCCAATACATACCTATACGACCACCCTTCGGGTGATAAGGAGGTTCGGGGGGGGGGGAGGATGCAGCGTCTCACTCGATCGGTCTCACTATCCATCTCACTATCGGTCTCGCTCGATCGATCTCACTCGATCGATCTCACAATCGATCTCACTCGATATATCTCATTCGCTCGGTCTCACAATTGATCTGATTATCGATCTCACAATCGATCTCACATTCGGTCTCACTATCGATCTCACTACCGATATCACAATCGATCTAACATTCAACGTCATCATCATCATCATCATCACCCACACCATCATTTTCATCGTCATCGGGGCACTGTCGTCATCATCATCATCGTCATCATCATCAACGCCATCATCATCAGGCCATCATCATCATCCCCATCATCGTCTCATCATAGTCAGCAACATCATCATCATCATCATCATCATCATCATCATCATCATCATCATCGGCACACAGCCTTCGTCATCATCACCATCAGCATCATCATCATCGGGACACCATCATGGTCACCATCATTGTCACCGTCAACATCATCAACAACATCGGGACACCATCATCATCATCATCATCATCATCATCATCATCATCATCATCATCATCATCATCATCATCATCATCATTATCATCATCATCATCATCATCATCATCATTTCATCATCATCATCATAATCAACAGCATCATCAACATCACCGGGACACCATCATCATCAGCAGCATCATCGTCGTCACCAACATCATCATCAATATCATCATCGGTACACCATCACCATCACCATCATCATCACCACCGTCATAATCATCATCATCGGGATACCATAATCATCATCAGCAGCATCATCATTACCAACATCATCATCAACAACAACGGGCAGAAACATCAACATCATCGGCATCTCATCATCAGCAACAACATCAACATCACCAGCGGAACACAGCCATCGTCATCATCACCTTCAGCATCATCATCATCGGGACACCATCATGGTCACCACCGTTGTCATCGTCAACATCATCAACAACATCGGGACACCGCCATCATCATCAGCTCATTATCATCATCATCATCATCAACAGCATCATCAACATCATCGGGACACCATCATCATCAGCAACATCATCATCACCAACATCATCATCAATATCATCATCGGTACACCATCACCATCACCATCATCATCACCACCGTCATAATCATCATCACCGGCATACCATAATCATCACCAGCAGCATCAGCATTACCAACACCATCATCAACAACAACGGGCAGAACATCAACATCATCGTCATCCCATCATCATCATCAACATCATCATCATCACCAGGACACCATCATCGTCATCATCATCACCATCAATACAACCATCATGATCATCATCAACATCATCATTATCGGGACACCGACGGGGCACCGACGGGACATCGGCGGGACACCGGCGGGACACCGCGGGCCCCCGGCCGCCCGGAAGGGAGTCATTTTGTCTGGCCGCGCGACATTTGGTCCGGCCGCGCCTCAGCCACAGGAGACTTTCTCTCGCCCGCCCACGCAGCTCCGCCTCGCCCGCACGGCACGCACGAACACGAAACCGAAATCGATTTCCCGTTGGGGGGGCTGTCCGTTCCACTTCGATCTCACCCCCTCACCTCCGATATAAACATGTACCTATACGACCACCCTTCGGGTGATAAGGAGGATCGGGGGGGAGGAACCAACGTCTCACTCGATCAGCCGCACGATCGATCTCACGATCGATCTCACTGACGGTCTCGCTCGATCGATCTCACTCGATCGATCTCACTATCGATCTCACTCGATCTATTTCATTCGATCGGTCTGACAATCGATATGACTATCGATCTCACAACCGATATCATTATCGGAGTCACTATCGATAGCACAATTGACCCCACATTCGGAATCAGCGTCATCAACATCATCATCATCATCATCGAAACACCATCATCATCATCGCCTCATCACCATCATCATCCGTATCATCAGCATCATCGCCATCACCATCATCATCATCATCATCGGGACACCATCATCGTTAACATCATCATCATCATCGGGACACCATAATCATCATCTCGTAGCCACCATCGTCATCCCCATCACCATCACCATCGGGAAACCATATTATCATCATCATCATCATCATCGGGAGGACACCATCATCGCCACCATCATCATCAGCATCATCATCCACGGGGCACCATCATCATCATCGGAACACCATCATCATCATCATCATATCATCTCATCATCATCATCATGAACAACATCATCAACATCTCATCATATGGACACAATCGTCATCAACAACGTCATCATTATCATCACCATCATCATCATCATCATCATCGGGACACCACCATCATCGTAACCGTCATCACCATCACCATCATCATCATCATCATCATCACCATCGGGATACCATCGTCATCATCATCATCACCATCATCATCATCAACAACATCACCATCATGATCACCATCACCATCATCATCATCAGCATCAGCATCATCATCATCATCATCATCATCGGGCCACCATCACCAAAGTTACTCCGACGGAAGGACCCCGCATGAGAATCCTCTGGGCGAATCTGGAAAAAACCCTCATCGTCGTCCTCGTGGTTGGTGAGGCGTCCTGGCTGTCTCTTCTGCGTATATTTCTTCTCGCCCTGGCGCGGGCCCTCCCCCCGCTCCACACGTTGCCCCCGACCTCGCCCTCTTGTTTTGGCTCCGGGCATTCAAAATGTGGCCCGGGAATGGTGTTCTGGGAGCACGAAGAACACGAAATGGCCTACAGTTGGCTCCGGGTATTCAAAATGTGGCCTGGGAATGGCATTCTGGCAGCGCGAGAGCCCAAACTTGGCGATTGTTATGGGAATTGGATGACCCGCTCGGAGTAGTAACATGATCCGCGGGCCCCATAGGGAAGGGGCTCCCGCTTGAGACTTCCTCGCAATTCACTCACAAATGTGGCCTGGGAGTGGCGTTCTGGCAGCGCGAGAGCCCAAACATGGCGACAGTTATAGGAATTGGATGACCCGCTCGGATTAATAACATGATCCGCGGGCCCCATAGGGAGGGGGCTCCCGCTTGAGACTTCCTCGCAATTCACTCACAGATGTGGCCTGGGAATGGCGTTCTGGCAGCGCAAGAGCCCAAAAGTGGCGACAGTTACAGGAATTGGATGACCCGCTCGGATTAATAACATGATCCGCGGGCCCCATAGGGAGGGGGCTCCCGCTTGAGACTTCCTCGCAATTCACTCACAGACGAGGCCCAAGGCGAGTGAGTGAGTGAGTGAGTGACTGACCGACTGACTGGTGATGATGATGATCATCACACTCTCTCACGCGCACACTCATCATCATCATATGTGAGTGCTAATGAGTCAGTGGGTGAGTGAGTGAGTGAGTGAGTGTGTGAGGGATGATGAGTGAGTGAGTGAGTGAGTGAGTGAGGAATGAGTGATGATGATGGTGGGTTCCTGTTCCTGCGCGGGGTGTCCAGAGAAAACAATAATCCCACTTTGGATGTGGTGGGGGATCATCATCATCACCTCACCATCATCCTCATCATTATCATCAACACCGGGACACCATCATCGTCATCACCACCACCAGCATCAACATCATCATCACCATTATCATCGGGACGCCATCATCATCAACATCATCATGAACCTCATCATCATCATCACCATCATCATCGGGGCACCATCATCATCATCATCATCATCATCATCATCATCATCATCATTAACATCATCAGCTTCATCATCATCTCATCACCATGTCATCATCATCAACATCATCATGATCAGCAACATCAGCATCATCATCATCATCACCGGGACACCATCATCATCAGCAACATCATCATCAACATCATTATCATCAATATCATCAGCGACATCAGCATCATCATCATCATCATCATTATCATTATTCTTCGTATTATTCTTATTATGAGTTTTATCCTCATTTGTCTTATTACTGTTCTCCTTATTATTATGATTCTTATTCTTATTCATATTGTAATTGCATTATTATTCGTATTATTATCTTCCTCTTGCTTATTTCTATTATTTACCTCCTCCCCTCCCTCCTCTCCTTCCTGCCTCCTCCTCCTCCTCCCTCCTCATCCTCCTCCGCCCATCTCCTCCACGTCGTCAGAGACGCCCTCCCCCCCTTTGCCCACTGCTATCGCCAGGGACTCCCTGCTCCTCCTCCTCCTCCTCCTCCTCCTCCTCCTCCTCCTTCCATCGGCGCGCGGGGCGGGAGCCTTCGCATCCCTCAGCGCCTCGGCGCCGGGCAGAAGAGTGTGGAGCGATACTCTCCCCGCCGCTGCCGCCGCCGCCTCCACCGCCGTCGCCCGAGACCGCCGCTGGGAAGCAGCGCAGCTCCTAGGCTGGCTCCCCTCCGAGCCCTCCGCCGCCGCCGCCGCGCCGCCGCCGACGCTGGACGGCAGCACCTGTTCGAGTTGGGCCATGCAGGCCTCCCGCCAGCATCCTGGGGGGGGGGGGTCCCGAAGCCCTCGGAGCGCCCCGCCGGTGAGCCCCCTGGGGGCGCTCTGGCCGTTCAGAGCGCCCCCCCCTCCCCGTCCGACAGACTGCGCTGCGGGCGCGGCTGGTGCTGGCGCTCAGGCCAGTTGAGCTCTCCGTGCAGACGTGGAGCCACTCCGTGGACATCGGAGCCCCTTTCCCGTGCTCCTCGAGCCGCTCCTGCTCCCTCCTCCATCCCTCGTCCTCCTCCGCACCACCGCCGTTCTGAACACCCAGCCGAGGCCACGCTGCTGGCGTGCCAGTTCCGCCGTCCTGGAGCTGGCAAGGCGTACACCTAACGGCTTCGGATCGCTCCTCAAGCCTCCCTCGCCCCTTCCCCCTCCTCTCTCGCCCGCCTTTTCGCCCTGCTTCCTGTCCCCCCTCCCGCTCCCCAACCACGCACCAAGTATCCCCTCACCTCCCACTCATGCACCACGCCCCAAACTCACGGCCCGCCCCCCCGAACTTCGCTGCCGCCCTCCCCGCAGCCCCCGTCCCGGGCACGTTCCCCTTCCCCAATCCTTCCCTGATCCCCCGCCTCGACTCTCGCAGCACCCCCCCCCACCGGCTAGGAGGAGGAGGAGGAGGAGGAGGAGGAGGAGGAGGAGGAGGAGGAGGAGGAGGAGGAGGAGGCTCGTATCCTCTCGGGGGAGCGCCCCTTTCCAGGCCCCAGGTCGCCCTTCCCAGACCTCCGACGTCGTGACCCTTCGAGGAAGCGGCCCGCGAAGCTCTTGACCACATCCACGGGGCACGTCTTGGGGGTCCGGGCCGGTGTCCCGAAAAAAACGGGCGCCAGATGCCCAAGCCAGAGGACAGTTCTTGTCAACCGTTCGGGCACAAGGGGCTCCTCCTCCTCCTCCTCCTCCTCCTCCTCCCCCTCCTCTCAGTGTCCCGAAAAACGGGCGCCAGATTCGGGCACAAAGGGGGATGTCAGACGAGTTGTTGGCTGCGTTGCGAGCAGCGCTGTGCACTTGACCGAAGAAGAGGCCGAGGAGGGGGACGGCTGAGAAGCCCCCCCCGCTCCCCCTCCGCAGTCTCGCGATGCTCTCTGGTGGCGAGGAGGGCCTGGGCTCTGTGCGACTGAAGGGGCGACCGAGGGGACGATGGGTTCGACTGAGAAGCCCTCCCCTCCCCATCCTTCGTCTCGCGACGCTGGCCGTTCTGGTTCTCCCGTGGCGATGGAGGAATGGGTCTCTCTCTCTCTCTCTCTTTCTCTCTCTCTCTCTCTTTTCCTCTCTCTCCTTCCAAGCCCTCCACGTCGCGCAGCCAGGGCTCGCCGTGCCCGTCCACGTAGGGCGCGGCGGCTGTGCAGGGAGGGAGGAGCAAGTCAGGACAGAGGATGGGGTGAGGGGGAGGAGGGAGGAGGAGGGAGGAGGAGGGTGAGGAGGAGTAGGAGGAGGAGGAGGAGGAGGAGGAGGAGGAGGAGTCCCTGAGGAGGAGGAGGGATGAGGAGGGATGAGGGGGAGGAGGGATGAAGAGGATGAGGGTGAGGATGAGGATAAATAAGGATGAGGATGAGGATGAGGGTGAGGGTGAGGATGATGCTGATGATGATGTTGATGACGATGATGATGACGATGATGATGACGACGATGATGACGACGACGATGATGCTGCGTATGATGATGATGATGATGATGATGATGATGATGATGATGATGATGATGATGATGATGATGATGGTGCTGCTGCTGAATATGATGATGATGCTGAGTGTGTTGCTGTTGTTGATGATGATGGTGGTGATGATGTTGATCGGATGATGATGCTGCTGCTGATGATGATGAGTTTGATGATGATGATGCTGATGATGCTGATGATGATTATGATATGTCTTGATGATGATGGTGATGCTGCTGATGATGATGCTGCTGTCGATGTTGATGGTGATGGATGATGCTGCTGTCGATGCTGCTGCTGCTGATGATGATAATGATGATGCTGCTGCTGCTAATGATGATGAGGATGATGAAGGTGATGCTGATGATGCTGATGATGATGATGATGATGATGATGATGATGATGATGATGATGATGATGATGATGTAAATGATGATGCTGGTGATGCTGATGATGACGATAATGATGACGAAGATGCTGCTGCTGATGATGATGGTGGTGATGATGATAATGATGATGAGGAGGAGGAGGAGGAGGAGGAGAGGAGGAGGAGGAGGAGGAGAAGGAGGAGGAAGGAGGAGGAGGAGGGGAGGAGAGGAGGAGGAGGAGGAGAGGAGGAGGAGAGGAGGAGGAGGAGGAGGAGGAGGAGGAGGAGGAGGAGGAGGAGGAGGAGGAGGAGGAGGGAGAGGAGGAGGGTGAGGATGAGGATGAGGAGAGGAGGAGGAGGAGGAGGAGGAGGAGGAGGTGGAGGCGGAGGAGGAGGAGGAGGAGGAGGAGGAGGAGGAGGAGGAGGAGGAGGAGGAGGAGGGGGGGGGGGAGGGAGGGAGGTGGAGGACGAACGAGGAGGAGCAGGAGGAGGGAGAGGAGGAGGAGGAGGAGGAGGAGGAGGAGGAGAGGGAGAAGGAGGATGAGGAGGAGGAGGGGGAGACGGAGAAGGAGGAGGAGGAGGAGGAGGAGGAGGAGGAGGAGGAGGAGGCGGGTGGGAGGCGCAGGATGAGTGGGAGGGGGAGGAGGCGGAGGATCTGGCGCAGGAGGAAGAAGAGCAGGACCATGATTTGGTTGGGAAGGCGAGGATGAGAGAGGAACGAGGAGGCAGAGGAGGTCAGCAATCGCCGAGCACTCAGCTGGTTTTCCACTCAATCTTATCGAAGCACTCCTTGCAGCCCGGAAGAGCGCAGCTGTTGCCCAGCACGCACCCGGCCTCCTTCTTGCCGAAGCCGAACGTGCCGTTGGTTGCCTTCTGCCACTTGCAGCGTATGCCCTTGTGCGCATTCTTCGTCGCGTCCGTCTGTTGTATCTTCATCGACATCTGGCAGCAGTCCTGGAGGCCGCCCAAATGGGGTCCGAGTAGATGGGGTCGGAGGATCGCGCCATATCGTCATTGCATCGCCGATGCATCGGCAACGTCGGCGATGCATCGGCGCCGTTGGCGTAGAGGAACATCGGGCTCCGCATCGGGCCGCATCGCCGATGCGTCGGCGAGTCGGGGCGATCCTCTGATCCCATCTGACTCGGGGCCCCTCTGGCCGGCACAGCGGTCCTTCCTCTCTTCACCATCCTTTATGTCGTCACAGTTCTTGTCGTCCATCTCGGAGCACTTCTTGACGATCGTCGGCTTGGAGTCGAAGGCGTCGTAGCAGTCGATGAAGCCGGTGCGCGCCCGCCTGCCCTGCATCGTGCTGGGGGAGGCCTGGGGCACGGGCCACACGAGAATGCCCGTCTTCGTGCTCGTCTTGCTTCCGCCCTGAAGCGGAAGCAAGCCGAGACCTGTGTTGCTCCCATCGTGCACGTCGGTCATTTCTACTGTTGAAGCGGTTAATATTACAGTAATAATTCCCTGAACAATTTTTCCGGTAATGTAATGGGCGTGCGTGACTTTCTGGTTGGATTTGTTTGTTCAGGAAGGTGGGTGGATTCTAGAAGGGAATTAACAGGAGTTGGGGAGGATTTGGGAATTGGGGGGGGGTTACAAAGGAAAGAGCAGGAGTTGGGAAGTTGGTACCCGGGGATGATTCTACAAAGGAAAGAGCAGGAGTTGGGGGGGATTCTGGAATTGGGGAGGATTCTACAAAAGGAAAAAAGGAGGAGTTGGGGAGGATTTGGGAATTGGGGAGGATTCTACAAAGGAAAAAGGAAGAGTTGGGGAGGATTTGGGAATGGGGGGGGGGTTCTACAAAGGAAAAAGGAGGAGTTGGGGAGGATTTGGGAAGTGGGGAGGATTCTACAAAGGAAAAAGGAAGGGTTGGGGAGGATTTGGGAATTGGGGAGGATTCTACAAAGGAAAAAGGATGAGTTGGGGGGGGATTTTGGAATTGGAAATGATTCTACAAAGGAAAAAAGTAGAGTTGGGGAGGAATTTGGAATTGGGGAGGATTCTACAAAGCAAAAAAGAGGAGTTGTGGAGGATTTGGGAATTGGGGGGAGGGGGGGCTTCTACAAAAGAAAAAGGAGGAGTTGGGGAGGATTTGGAAATTGGGGAGGATTCTACAAAAGGAAAAAGGAGGAGTTGGGGAGGATTTGGGAATTGGGGAGGATTCTACACAGGAAAAAAAAGAGCTGGGGAGGATTGAGGAATTGGGGATGATTCTACAAAAGGAAAAAAGAGGAGTTGGGGAGGATTTGGGAATTGGGGTGGATTCTACAAAGGAAAAAGGAGGAGTTGGGGAGGATTTTTGGCATTGGGGGGGATTCTACAAAGGAAACAGGATGAGTTGGGGAGGATTTTGGGAATTGAAAAGGATTCCACAAAGGAAAAAGGAGGAGTTGGGGAGGATTTGGGACTTGGGGAGGATTCTACAAAGGAAAAAGGATGGAGTTAGGGAGGATTTGGGAATTGGGGAGGATTCCGCAGGAAAAAAGAGGAGTTTGGTGGGGATTTGGGAATTGAGGAGGTTTCTACAAAGGGAAAAGGAAGAGTTGGGCAGGATTTGGGACTTGGGAGTATTCTACAACGGAAAAAGAAGCTGGGGAGGATTTGGGGATTGGTGAGGATTCTACAAACAAAAAAGGAAGAGTTGGGGAGGATTTGGGAATTGGGGAGGATTCTACACAGGAAAAAGGAAGAGTTGGGGAGGATTTGGGAATTGGGGAGGATTCTACAAAGGAAAAAGGAGGAGTTGAGGAGGATTTGGTAATTGCCGAGGATTCTACCCAACTCCCAAATCCTCCCCAACTCCCCCGTCTCCTTTGTAGAACCCTCCCCAATTCCCAAATCCTCCCCAACTCCTCCTTTTTCCTTTGTAGAATCCTCCCCAATTCCCAAATCATCCCCAGCTCCTCCTTTTTCTTTTGTAGAATCCTCCCAAATTCCCAAATCCTCCCCAACTCATCCTTTTTCCTTTTGTAGAATCCTCCCCAATTCCCAAATCCTCCCCAACTCCTCCTTTTTCCTGTGTAGAATCCCCCCCAATTCCAAAATCCCCCCCAACTCCTCCTTTTTCATTTGTAGAATCCTCCCCAATTCCCAAATCCTCCCAAACTCCTCCTTTTTCCTTTGCAGAATCCTCCCTAATCACCAAATCCTCTCCAACTCCTCATTTTTCCTGTGGAATCCTCCCCAATTCCAAAATCCTCCCCAACTCCTCCTTTTTCCTTTGTAGAATCCTCACCAATTCCCAAATCCTCCCCAACTCCTCCTTTTTCCTTTGTAGAATCTTCCACAAATCCCAAATCCTCCCCAACTCATCCTTTTTCCTTTCTAGAATCCTCCCCAATGCCCCAAATCCTCCCCAACTCCTCCTTTTTCCGTTGTAGAATCCTCCCCAATTCCAAAATTCCCCCCAACTCCTCATTTGTTTCCTTTTGTAGAATCATCCCCAATCCCCAAATCCTCCCCAAATCCTTCTTTTTTCCTCTGTAGAATCCTCCACAATTCCAAAATCATCCCCAACTCGTCCTTTTTCCTGTGTAAAATCTCCCCAATTCCCAAATCCTGCACCAACTCCTCTTTTTTCCGTTGTAGAATCCTCCCCAATCCCCAAATCCTCCCCAACTCCTCCTTTTTCATTTGTAGAGCCCTCCCCAGTTCCCAAATCCTCCCCAACTCATCTTTTTTTCCCTTGTAGAATCCTCCCCAATTCCCAAATCCTCCGAAACTCATCCTTTTTCCTTTGTAGAATCCTCCACAATTCCCAAAATCCTCCCCAACTCCTCCTTTTTCTTTTCTGTAGAATCCTCGACGATTCCCAAATCCTCCCCAACTCCTCCTTTTTCCTTTGTAGAATCCTCCACGATTCCCAAATCCTCCCCAACTCACCTTTTTTCCTCTGTAGAATCCTCCCCAATTCCAAAATCCTCCCCAACTCCTCCTTTTTCCTTTGTAGAATCCTCCCAAATTCCCAAATCCTCCCCAACTCCTCCTTTTTCCTCTGTAGAATCCTCACCAATTTCCAAATCTTCCCCAACTCCTACTTTTTCCTTTGTAGAGCCCTCCTCAATTGCCAAATCCTCCCCAACTCCTCCTTCTCCTTTGTAGAATCCTCCCCAATTCCCAAATCCTCCTCAACTCCCCCGTCTCCTTTTGTAGAATCCTCCACAATTCCTACATCATCCCCAACTCCTCCTTTTTCCTTTGTAGAATCCTCCCCAATTCCCAAATCCTCCCCAACTCTTCTTTTTTCCTTTGTAGAACCCTCACCAATTCCAAAATCACCCCCAACTCCTCCTTTTTGCTGTGTAGAGTCCTCCCCAATTCCCAAATCCTCACCAACTCCCTCTTTTTCCTTTGTAGAATCCTCCACAATTCCCAAATCCTCCCTAACTCATCCTTTTTCCTTTGTGGAACCCCCCCAATTCCCAAATCCTCCCCAACTCCTCCTTTTTCCTTTGTAGAATCCTCCCCAATTCTCAAATCCTTCCCAACTCCTCCTTTTTCCTGTTGTAGAATCCTCACCAATCCCCAAATCCTCACCAACTCCTCATTTTTCCTTTTGTAGAATCCTCCCCAATTCCCAAATCCTCCCCAACTCCTCCTTTTTTGCGTTGTGGAATCCTCCCCAATTCCCAAATCCTCCCCAACTCCTCCTTTTTCCTTTGTAGACTCCCCCCCCAATTCCCACACACTCCCCAACTCCTCCTTTTCCTTTGTAGAATCCTCCCCAATGCCCAAAACCCTCCCCAACTCCCCCTTTTTCCTTTGTAGAATCCTCCCCAATTCCCAAATCCTCCCCAACTCCTTTCTTTTTTTCCTTTTGTAGAACCCTCCCCAATTCCCCAATCCTCCCCAACTCATCTTTCTGTTTCCTTTGTAGAATCCTCCACAATTCCCAAATCCTCCCCAACTCCTCCTTTTTCCTTTGACGAATCCTCCCCAAATCCCAAAATCCTCCGCAACTCCTCCTTGTTCCTTTGTAGAATCCCCCACAATTCCCAAATCCTCACCAACTCTTCCTTTTTCCTTTGTAGAATCCTCCCCAATTCCCGAATCCTCCCCAACTCCTCATATTTCATTTGTTGAATCCCCTCCAATTCCAGAATCCTCCCCAACTCCTCCTTTTTCCTTTGTAGAATCCTCCACGATTCCCAAATCCTCTCCAACTCCTCCTTTTTCCTTTGTAGAACCCTCCGCAATTCCAAAATCCTCCTCAACTCATCCTTTTTCCTTTGTAGAATCCTCCCCAATTCCCCAAATCCTCCCCAACTCCTCCTTTCTCCTTTGTAGAATCCTCCCCAATTCCGAAATCCTCCCCAAACTCCTCCTTTTTCCTTTGTAGAACCCTCCCCGATTCCCAGATCCTCCCCAACTCCTCCTTTTTCCTGTGTAGAATCCTCCCCAATTCCCAAATCCTCCCCAATTCCTCCTTTTTCCTTTGTAGGATCCTCCCCAATTCCCAAATCCTCACCAACTATTCCTTTTTCCCGTGTAGAAGCCTCACCAATTCCCAAAATCCTCCCCAACTCCTCCTTTTTCCTGTGTAGAATCCTCATCAATTCCCAAATCTCGCCCAACTCTTCCTTTTTCCTTTGTAGAACCCTCACCAATTCCCAAATCCTCCCCAACTCCCCTTTCTCCTTTGTAGAATCCTCCACAATTCCCAAATCCTCCCCAACTCGTCCTTTTTCCTTTGTAGAATCCTCCACAATTCCCAAATCCTCCCCAACTCCCCTTTTTTCCTTGGTAGAATCCTCCCCAATTCCCAAATCCTCCCCAACTATTCCTTTTTCCGTTTGTAGAATCCTCCCCAATTCCCAAATCCTCCCCAACTCATCATTTTTCCTTTGTAGAATCCTCCCCAATTCCCAAATCCCCCCCAACTCCCTCTTTTTCCTTTTGTAGAATCCTCCACAATTCCAAAATCCTCCATTTTCCTTTGTAGAATCCTTCCCAATTCCCAAAATGCCACCCCAACTCATCTTTTTTTCGTTTGTAGAATCCTCCCCAATTCCAAAACCCTCCCGATCACATCCTTTTTCCTTTGTAGAATCCTCCCCAATTCCCAGATCCTCCCCAACTCTTCCTTTTTCCCTTGTAGAATCCTCCCCAATTCCCAAATCCTCCCCAACTCCTCCATTCTCCTTTGTAGAATCATCACCAATTCCCAAATCCTCCCCAACTCTTCCTTCTTCCGTTGTAGAATCCTCCTCAATTCCCAAATCCTCACCAACTCTTCTTTTTTCATGTGTAGAATCCTTCCCAATTCACAAATCCTCCCCAACCCCTTTTTTCCTTTTGTAGAATCCTCCCCAAATACCCAGATCCTCCCCAACACCTCCTTTTTTTTCTTTTCGTAGAATCCTCCCAAATTCCCAAATCCTCCCCAACTCTTCCTTTTTCCGTGGTAGAACTCACCCCAATTCCCAAATCCTCCCCAACTCATCCTTTTTCCTTTGTAGAATCCTCCACCATTCCCAAATCCTCCCCAGCTCCTCCTTTTTCGTTTGTAGAACCCGCCCAATTCCAAAATCATCCTCAACTCCTCTTTTTTCCTTTGTAGAATCCTCCCCAATTCCCAAATCTTCCCCAACTCATCTTTTCTCCTCTGCGTAATCCTCCCCAATTCCAAAATCCTCCCCAACTCCTCTTCTTTTCCTTTGTGGAATCCTCCCCAGTTCCCAAATCCTCCCCAAATCATCATTTTTCCTTTGTAGAATCCTCCCCATTTCCCGAATCCTCCCCAACTCCTCCTTTTTCCTTTGTAGAACCCTCCCCAATTCCTAGATCCCTTCCAAATCCTATTTTCTCATTTGTAGAATCCTCCACAATTCCAAAATTCTCCCAAACTCATCCTTTTTTCCTTTGTAGAATCCTCCCCAATTCCAAAATCCTCTCCAACTCATCCTTTTCCTTTGTAGAATCCTCCCCAATTCCCAAATCCTCCCCAACTCCCCCTTTTCCTCTGTAAAATCCTACTCAATTCCCAGATCCTCCCCACCTCCTCCTTTTTCCTTCGTAGCATCCTCCCCAATTCCCAAATCCGCCCCAACTCTTCCTTTTTTCCTTTGAAGAATCCCCCCCCATTCCTAAATCCTCCCCAACTCCTCCTTTTTCCTCTGTAGAACCCTCCCCAATTCCGAAGTCATCCCCAACTCCTCCTTTTCCCTTTGTAGAATCCTCACCAATTCCCAAATCCTCCCCAACTTGCCCTTTTTCCTTTGTAGAACCCTCCCCAATTCCAAACTCCTCCCCAACTCCTCCTTTTTTGTAGAATCCTCACCAATGCCAAAAAATCCGCCCCAACTCCTCCTTTTTCCTTTGTAGAATCCTCCCCAATTCCAAAAATTCTCCCCAACTCCCTCTTTTTCCTTTTGTAGAATCCTCCCCAATTCCCAAATCCTCCCAAACTCCCTCTTTTTCCTTGGTAGAATCCTCCCCAATTTCCAAATCCTCCCCAACTCCTTCTTTTTCCTTTGTAGAATCCTCCCCAATTCCAAAATCCCACCCAACTCCTCCTTTTTCCTTTGTAGAACCCTCCCAAATTCCCAAATCCTCCCCAACTCCTCCTGTTTCCTTTGTAGAATCCTTCCCAATTCCCAAATCCTCCCCAACTCCTCCATTCTCCTTTGTAGAATCCTTCCAAATTCCCAAATCCTCCCCAACTCCTCTTTTTTCTTTTGTAGAATCCTCCCCAATTCCCAAATCCTCCCCAACTCCTCCTTTTTCCTTTTGTAGAATCCCCAATCCATTCCCAAATCCTCCCCAACTCCTCCTTTTTCCTCTGTAGAATCCTCCCCAATTCCCAAATCTTTCCCAACTCCTCCTTTTTCCTTTGTAGAACCCTCCCCAATCCCCAAATCCTCCCAAATTCCCCTTTCTCCTTTGTGGAATCCTCCCCAATTCCCAAATCCTCCCCAACTCCTCCTTTTTCCTTTGTAGAAGCCTCCCCAAATCCCAAATCCTCCCCAACTCCTCCTTTTCTTTTGTTGAATCCTCCCCAATTCCCAAATCCTCCCCAACTCCTCCTTTTTCCTTTGTAGAATCCTCCCCAATTCCCAAATCCTCCCCAACTCCTCCTTTTTCCTGTGAAGAATCCCCCCCAAGTCCCAAATCCTCCCCAACTCCCTCCTTTTCCTTTGTAGAATCCTCCCCAATTCCCAAATTCTCCCCAACTCTTCCTTTATCCTTTGTAGAATCCTCCCCAATTCCCAAATCCTCCCCAACTCTTCCTTTTTCCTTTGTAGAATCCCCCCCAATTCCCAAATCCTCCCCAACTCCCTCTGTTTCCTTTGTAGAATCCTCCCCAATTACCAAATCCTCCCCAACTCCTGCTCATAATTTCTGTAGAATCCTAATCGTGAAATCCCCCCCCAACCCCGCTGACGTCATTACAGGGCGCAAAAATAATTATCGAAACGATTTTTCCGGTAATGTAATGTTTTTTGCCCCTGCAGTAATCGTGCTCATTTTCAAGTGTGCTCGTTTCTGATTGTTCCTGGCCCCCTAGTGGCCAGGAAGAGGCCCAAGATAGAACAATTAGAAATGAAAGGATCTTGGCCGCCAACAGAAATCAAAGAACTTTCGAAGCATTAGAAATGAGCAATGTGTACTTAAGGACCACATCCCAGAAAGAATTTCGAGCACCCGGAAAAGTGTCGAAAGAGTGTCGGACGAGTGTCTCCCAGGGGCCGCCGACACGTGAACACCCTCGAATTTCGATACTTTCCTGGCGCTTGAAATTCTTTCTAGTGATCATGGTTAAAGTAACTAAAGTAGGTTGGAGCATCAGAAACCGAGACCTAACTCACGACAACATGCCGAATCCCTTACGTTCTGGACCTTCTGCTTTGCGTGTCGTGGCGACGGCCCTGGCGACGCGCCACGCGGTGCAAAAACTGGTAGCGTGTCGCTCCGCTCGGGACGTTGACGCTCGGGGACCAGGACAAGCGTCTAGAGCCGAAGCATACAGTAGGAGCTCGACCACAAGACGCCTTCCACAAGAAATCCAGCCCTGAGGCCCCCGGACGCCCATGGGCTTTGGGTGTGGGAGCGTCACGCTTTCTTTGGCAAAACCATCGAATCCCAGGAAACCCAGGGCACCCTGGAGGCTAGCAGGGTGTTTCTTGGCATGGGTTTCCGCTGTAGGCTCTCTGGAGCCGCGACTGCTCCACGGTGAGCCCGAGAGCGGGAACGACAGCGGGCACGGAGACGATCCACCGTGCTGTACGAAGCGTGGCGCGGAGCACAACGAGTCGGGAGCAGGGAAGCGGCCTCCGAAGAGAACGCGCGCCCTCTTGGACGCCCCCCCCCCTGCATTCTGCGAAGCCTGCCGGAAGCCTCAGAGACGGGGGAACGATTCTTCCTGAGAGCCCCCCATGCCCTCATGCGAAGGCCAGGCCAGCAGCTATAATCCCGTTGGTTCGCCGCCAACGCGCAGCGCTCTGAGCTCTGACCGACCCCTGACCTGCAGGAAGCTGGCGTAGGTCGCGGCCTTGGAGGACACCCAGGTGCTCGGGCCCATGGCGGCCAGGCTGGCCAAGTCATTCTGCAACAGCCCAGGTGATCTGTGGCAGACCACTACATGGTCGTCGTGCGGCGACACCGCGCCTAGGACGGATCCCTGCAGCAGCTTCATGGCCCCACCTTGGCACTCAGCAAGTCAGACCCGACCAGAAGCCGAGCTGCTCGAGCTGAATCAGTTGCGGGAGGAGTAGGAGGAATATTATCATGTCCATGATGATTATTTTCAGGAGGATGCGGAAGGACGAGGACAACCTTACGGAAATGGAAAAGCAGCAATGAAGATGGGAAGTAAAAGAAACATACTCGAGGAATGATGGTGGAGGGGGACGGGAGAGAACATATCAGTACTTAGAAGAGGAAAGAGGCAGGACGGCCGAAAATGATGAAGAGGAGCGAGGAGGATGTGGAGGGGAGGAGGAAGACGAAGCCGATGCTAATGATGGCGAGGGACAGAGACGGAAGAGGCATAATAATGAGCGTAATTGAACAGATGTCCGACCCCTTGGATACTGGCGCGAGAGATATCTATCACATCTCTACTCCCTCCCCAGGGGGAGGGGCTCGGAGAGGGCGATTTGTTTTTTTTTTTGTGTGTGTGTGTGTGTGTGTGTGTGTGTGTGTGTGTGTGTGTGTGTGTGTGTGTGTGTGTGTGTGGGGGGTCTTCGCAAGGTCCCAGAAATGGCCCAGGGAAGGCAAGGGAGCACCGGGACCCCACAGACGGGCCCGTGCCGGCACAAAAAGGGCGCGACCATACAACACACAGCACGGGCGCGGCCGCAGGAAGCCCTCGCAAAAGACCCCACCCTGAAGACCCGCGCGCGAGGTGCACCCGAGGTGAAACCCGGAGCACCCTGAACGCAGCCGCTCCTTCCCCGGCTGCGGGAAGGCACCGCGCGGCGCGCGGAGCGAAGAGATCCAGGATGGTGGATGAGGAGGAGGGGGAGGAGGAGTAGGATAAACATGGCAATGGGAATGATGGAGAAAGAGGAGGAGAAGGAGGAGGAAGAGGAGGATACCCTGACGAAAAGCATACGGTTTCTCGATGCGCGCCCCCACTGTGCATGCGCTCGGGGCTGCCTGCCCTCGAGCATGCCGACGAGGAGCCCGCACAACGATGTGAACCAGAAGGACCTCGGACGATCGGGGATCCTACAGTCAAAACGTGTATTAAGGACGGGTGATAAGGACGCAAGACCCTTGGAGGCCGAAGTTGGGTTTTTTAGGGCGGCGGGCGACCAGTGATAATGGCAAGGACGGGCCTCAGAGGCAAGGACACAAGGGTACCCTAGATGAAGGCGCGCGTCCTTACTAGGCGCGTTGACTGTACTGACCCAGGTCAATCCAAGCCCGGATCAATCGGGCTTTGCAGGATCCTGCAAGGTCGGGCTTTGCAGGAC